TATTTTACCAATAATTACATACATTATTGCAATTAAGTAATGTTTATATGCGTTAACAACCTGATTAATGTCTCATATTGTCTGCTGGAACCATGATATTTGGATTTCTGCTCTCAGATGTTTTCACATTTCAGTAAAAATAGAGAAAGTAGCCTCTCAGAAAGACCTGCTTCTCCTGCTCATTTGTTATTCATCCATGTATTTAACAGGACAGTGCACATTGATCAGCATCTCTGTGAATGTGCCAAGAGGCTATTTCTCCTCTGTAGTCCCTGCACAGATTTAGTAAGTCACCCTAAAGACACATTTCATTTTAAACAACTAAATGCAATCAAATAAAAACACGCATCATACAGTCCTGGAAATGTTAATAAAAAAAACTAAATAGAACAAATAAACAAAACAAAACAAATATATATATATATGTTAATAATTGAGTTTTTGGGAGAAGGCTTGGGATTAAATAACTGTTTATAGAGCAACACAAGGCCATTCAAAGTGCTTTACAAACATGAAAGACATTAAGAGCATTAAAGGTAGGGTGGGTAAGAATGGAGAAACCAGCTAGAATTTGAAAATACACAACCGAAACAAATCTGCCACTTCCTTCAGACTTCCTTCCAGAGCCCCTCCTCCAACACACACGAACGCGCACATGACCAATGAGGGCACGAGATAAGTTTGTGCACAGATGGAAGGCTGACAGGCAGGTAGGCCATCCAGTTATTTTAGCCGGGCCGGCTCAGATGATTGGTCGTGCTTTGTACAGTACTACGGCTTCAACAGATGACATTTATTTATGGATTTTTTGTCAAAGCATTTAAGATATTCATTGCTATCAGGATGTTAAGAGCATTCCATGGAATATAACAAAGTGTTTCTGAAGTGATTTACATACCCCACCTTTAAGAAACATATTATAAAATGGCATTTAAAAACAGTCATTAAAAGCAAAGGAACATGAATGAAAGTGACAGAGCAGAGTGAGATACACACATCTGAAAGGCTGAGCTCTGACTTTCAATCATTGCTCACTTTTTAGCAGAAATAGTTTCCTATCACCTCACTTTCTTTCTACTTTCTTTTATCCTTTAGTTATTTCAAGTGCTTCATGCCAAACGAACCCGTCTTTGGACCGTGTTAATCTGCAACCCGATATTCAGAACATTCTACGGATCCTGGCCGTATTTGTGTAGCATATGAAATGTATTTGCTCCCAGTGGCTCATGTGGCTTGCTGGTTTTGGACCCCATCTGTAACCCCAATACACGTAGGGGACTGTAACCCCCTCAGACTGAGAGCGGCAACAATGATATATAACTGTTTCATTTGTAAAGAGTTGTGCGGGAATGAGCCCTAAAGCCCAGAGAGGACTGTGTGTGTGTGTGTGTGTGCGTGTGTGTGTGTGTGTGTGTGTGTGTGTGTGTGTGTGTGTGTGCGTGTGTGTGTGTAAACTTCTCTTCTCAGATGTGTCATTAGGTCGATCTTTTGTTTATATATCAAGTCAGTCAGATTTTAGTTTATCAATTTGACACTGCTTAAGTTTGTACAGTATAATAATTCTCATGTTTCATTTCATTATTATGTTTTTGTGTTATTGTCTTACACATTCGAAATATAAAAACAAATAAGAAAACGTCCTCCTCATCAATACCCTCTCTTCCTGTTTCCCTTCAGGACCAGAACTCGTACGCTGCTCCTCCTCCGGGACCCGGAAACAACCCCGCCATGTCATCGTCGTCGTCGTCGGGGGTACCGCCCGGTAACCACGGCAACACCGGGGCGTACCTGAGCAGCCAGGTGGCGTTGAAGCAGCAGCAGCACCAACAGATCCTGGAACAGCAGAAACAGCAATATCTGCAGAGGCAGCTGCTCATGGCCGAACAGGTACACTCAGTTAATAACAATAATAATACCTTTAGGGGTTTGTTATGGTTTAACGTGCTAAAAGAGACAATCTGTGGTTAGGCCAGACAATAAGTCATAAGCATTAACACACAAAATAAATTCTACGGAAAACAAGAAGGGAGATTTACTGATTATTTTAAAAACATTTTTGAAAAGTCATTTTTGAGAAGTTTGGTCATTTTTCAAAAATGTTTTTCATATTTAAAATATTAGGTACTTTTTGAAAAATGAGCTAACATTTAACTGAAGTCATTTTGAAAGGTTAGATCATTTAAAAAATATAATGTTTTTTTTTCATAAAGGGTGAGAATAGTGTTAAAAATCAACAATGGAAATATTGTAAATTCTGCATTGCTGAAGTATAATAATCTAACGCCTTCAAATGACCTCGGGAAAAGCAGTGGAAAACAGAAACACTATTGTAACCTCGATTTAATAAAAAGTGTTAAGCGTGAATTTCAATTTTGAGTGTGAAGTATTCTCTATTATCACAAATCTGAAGTCGAGCAACTCATCTGTATTATCCGGAGATAGGTATCCTCCTTTTTCGATATACGTCTTGTCGTGGTTTTAAAGTCTGCATAACAGTAACCTTTTCCTATCAGACCTAATGTTTCTGCTCAAATGGGCTAAAGGTGTGTTTAATATTCACACCTGCAGAAGATTAGAGAGAGGGGGAGTGATGGTGTGAACCTGTAGACACTCAAGTTGAACACTAGAGGGCACTGTTGCTCCACACAGCTCTATAGATCCTGGAGCTGCTTCAATGAGACGAGACTCTGGGGGGAAAAGCTCCAAAAGGATCAAACTCAGTGATTTAAACCAAGATGGAAAAGTTCTCACAAAAGATTTCTTTGTTTACTTCTGATTCATAAGGACAGTGCAATTTGACATATTTGTAAAAGAAGACATGAAGTTCTGATGCTCAGACGATTCATAGCTATTATGAACATTGTGTTGAAAGCAGACGTCCTGATGTTTGTTTGTTTTGTTGATAAAAACAATGCTGGGATCACGTTTTCTCAGATGAACAAGTTCAAAGGTTGTTCTCTTTCAATATATTCAGATGAGACAATACAAGAAACATTAGTGTGTAACCATTAGCCAATCACCAACCAAGGTAACCCCCCCCCCCCCACCTTATCACCTGAATCACCTCCTAGAGCACCATTAGGCGCTTTCACATCGGAGTACTTTTCCCAGTATAGTTCCGAAATGTTGCGTTCACACCAAAAAAATCTGGAACTAGAACTTAATTCATGAGAACCTTTTCACCCACCTTTTAGTCCCTGCTATGGCGCATTTCCACTACAGCGCGGAGCTCGCTTTAAGCGTGCCTAGCCGTGCAGGGCCCGTTTTTGGTTTCGTTTCCACTTGTCGTAGTACCGGCTAGCGGGTACTATTTCACAGTTTTTCTGGCCCCATAAAATCGAGGTTCTTTCCGGGCCAACAACCAGGCTGAGTCGGGCTGAGTATGCTAAACTAGAGAGAGAATCGCTGGCAAGGGGGCTACAACTACAACAAGATGAACATATTTGACCGTGATTTAATTGTAATACACGTTTCAAAATTATGCCGAAGTAACAACATACTGATACCGGTTAGTAAAAACCATGAATTAATGCTTTGACAAGTCTGCAGACAGACGGCAGGCGAAACACCTTTTAAAATGTTTTCTGAATGGAGATTGGCTAAGCTAACGCAGTATATGCCCCGACCGTCCACACTCACAACGGCCTATACAGACATAAATAAAGCAGCGACTGTATTCACCATGACACAGGCAGTCTGTGGTTTGTACTTGTTTAACTTTTGTCTAGTTTCTGAACATATATGAGGAGCTGTGAGCTCTGAGTGCTAACAGCTAACGGCTGATGTTGTTTTTCTGGGGTTCTCATTGAAGATGACGTCACGGCTCCGCCTACACTGCGTTACTATAGTAACTACCCCAGTTTCTAAACTGTAATGGAAATGCGCCATAAAGTGAGCCACTTTGAGTTACTTTGTAACGCGTTACTTTTATAATTCAGTAATCACACTACAGTTACTAACATTGCCCCGACACGCGTTACTTCGTTACTTTTATAAAATCAGTCATAATCACACTGACAGACAAGAGGGGTTTCCGCCGCAGGTTTATATGTACGTAATCTGCGCGACTTGCGCGTCCACATCTCCGCGTGCAGTGCTGCATAAACATGGCTGAGTCAGCGATAACTTTCGAGGGGTGGAGGTATGCCCATTATTTTGAGTTTGTCCGAAGAATAGACAGGAACGTGACGGTGAGGTGCAAACTGTGTCCAGGCCAGAAGCTGTTATCCACTGCTGCAAACACCACGTCAAACCTCAACAAACACCTGCAAAGAACACATGCTAAGCTGTCTTGCAAGCTTGTTGTGGTAGGCTGGTAGCCTATTTTATTAAAGAGCATATAAAAAGAAAGACTTGTGTTATGTCTTCCTTATTGCAATAGTAATTGGGGGTGCAAGTGGAGTCTCGCAGAGGCAAAACTGTGGCGCGCTTACACTGTAGGTGCGCCGCAGTCTGCGTGATCTGCCTGTAGGGAGGGGCGGGCCGGCCCTGCGAGTAAAGTAACGAGTTACTTTATGTAGAGAGTAACGAAGTAGTGTAATATATTACTTTTTTAAAAAGTAATATGTAATATATTACTTTTATTTAGTAACGACCCCATCTCTGCTTATGGCAACACAAAATAAAACATGGGAGCGGTGGAGATGAGGAGGTGTTGGCGTTCTGGCGATTTACTCTGAAGGCTTCAGTAGAAGCTGCTGGGAGTCCCAGCAGCTTCTACTGAAGCCAGTCCCCAACTCCGGGGACTTCCGGCCGGGGACTTCGGGTGGCAGTATACGCCGTGAAGTGGTTTGCGGCCTGCCAGTAAAGCCAAAGCAGAAGAAGAAGAAGTGACGTCAGCGGCTTCATTTGCCTAATCCTTCCCCAGGGACTTATTCCGGTGTGAACGCGATCTGTACTCAGTTCATCAGAACTAAAGAGTTCTGATGAACTGAGTACGGCAAAGGACTTGGTGTGAACGCGCCTATTGAGTTCTATTTAACCAAATCTCTCTCAGAGGGGCGTGGGGAGGGGCTCCTTATTTTCATCTAAAGTAACAGACAGAGAATCAACACTTTGGAAACAGGGCTGAAACAGAGGGGATTATGGGTAATGCTGCAATGATCTGTTTGGTGTTTCAGCCAATCAGAGTCAGGCTCGGGATATATCTGAGACCTGTGATATATTGATGAAGAACAGGATAATAGGGGACCTTTAAAACTAGAATGTAATGTAAGTGGGTTACACTTAGTAAAATCGGATATACTGTTATTTTGTAAAATGTCTAATGTGTGTGTGTGTGTGTGTGTGCGTGCAGGAGAAGCAGCGTCAGCAGGACCAGCAGCTGCAGAGGCACCTGACCCGCCCCCCCCCTCAGTACCAGGACCAGCCGGGACCACCGACCAATCAGAACGCTTTCCCTCAGCCACCAGGCAACCAGTTTACAGGTACCTCAAACACTTCAGTTATTCTCAGGAAACCGGGGGATTTAACGGTTGCTGCATTTTAAAAATAAAAGTAGATATAAATATTTAAATGTAAATAGAGAAGGACAAGTAAACGTGTTTTTCATGCAAACATCGGCTCTCAGAAATAGAGATTTACTGTTTTAAATCACATTAAAGGAGATATCTTTTGGTTCTTGACTCACAATACAAGACAATTAGGCACTGACACTTGATTGACACTTAATTGAATATACTGCTAATTTAATTTCTCTGCTTTAGTGCAAGAACATTTCATTTGAGATCATATTCAGCATAACACACTTCAGGTTCACTCGGAGTGTGCACATGAAAATGAAGTCTTATGTTACTGAATGAAAGAGGTGGAGCAGTTTATCAGCTCAGTTTCATGAGAAGAAAGCAGGTTGTTGTTTTTGCTCGCCGCTGATTTGAAAGTGAAATAACAAACAAGGGTTCAGTTTCTGTTTCGACACGGAGACGCTGCAGAAACACTGAGGATCATTTACACATCCACGGCTGCAGCATGAATAACTCAGATCAGAAGTTAGTGTGTTGCAGCACGCTAAAACAAATACAGTAAATATTGGTCAACATGCTTTGGTTTTTTAATACTTCACAAGTTAAGACTTATTATTGTTTATGTATGATTTAGTATTTGGTTATATCAGTGGTTTAAGTTGAGGAGGACTGGAATGTTTTTAATCATTTATTAAAAGTTAATAGTATAAAATAAACACGGGCATAAAAATAATGGGAATAAATAACAATAAACTACAGCTTTAACATTTCAATTTGAAGCCAAAATTGTTATTCATTAATTATTTATAGTTATTATCATTAATAAATACATCAGAATCAGGTTTATCACCAGGTGGGTTCACACGTACGAGGAATTTGACTCGATGTCGTGGTGCTTACATAAAAGTAAAACAAACATTTAAAAACACAGATAGAGAACTATTAATCAAACTTCATAAACATTAAAACTCTTCTTTCCTCTCCACAGCTTCCTCTCAGCCAATGGGCAGCGTCGGCTCGATGGGAGGCCCCGCCCCCTCCCAGCGCATGTTCCCCCAGAACCAAGGCATTCTGGGTATGAGCCTCGGGGGGGGGCCGTCTGGAGGAGTAGCTCCGCCTCCAACAGGAAGTGACATCAGCCTGACTTCTTGCGGCGGGGACGTCCTCTACAACAACAACAGCATGCAGCAGCCGGTTGCCATGACGAGGCAGCCGCTGAGCGCCATGGCAACCGCCACTTATCGCCACTCCCTATTGGCTCAGCAGCATCTGAAGGGGCCGCCGAACGCCTCCATGTTGAAACAGCAGCAGCAGATTAACGCTCGCATGCCTGGAAACATGCAGAGCGTCGCCTGGCAACAACAGCAGCTGGCCAATCAGACGCCTCCCTTTAGCTCCGCCTCCAACACCTTCCACCTGCAGCAGCAGCAGCAGCAGCAGCAACGTCTCTCCAAGATGGCCCCCGGCGGGGCAGCTAGCTTCGGTTCGATCCCCGGCGGGCGGCCAATGGGGGGTCTGAACATGATGCAGAACAACATGGCCGCCGCGCAACAACGTGCAGCGCCAAACCCTCAGATGTCCAATCAGCCTCAGCAACAGCCTCAGCAACAGCAACAAACAGCCAATCAGAGCGCAGCAGGGCTTCCTGACCTCGCTGCGTTCGGACAGGTGGTTGCCGGCGGCGGTGGTCGCCCCGGGTTACAGTGTAACCAGGGTTACCAGGTGAGCAGGACCGCGGCGCAGCAGCAGCAGCAGGTGGCGTTCGGGTACAACGTGGCGTCAGGAAGCTTCGCCGGAGAGAGCGAGCTGGTGGACTCGCTGCTGAAGGGACACAACGCTCAGGAGTGGATGAACGACCTGGACGAGCTGCTAGCCGGGCACCATTAGCATCTGATGCTACGCTGTTAGCTCCTGATGCTACTCTTAAAGCTACTCCTGAAGCTACACCTGCTGAAGGGACACGACGCTCAGGAGTGGAAGAACGACCTCGACTCGCTGCTGAAGGGACACCATTAGCTGCTGATGCTACACCTGATGCTACACCGTTAGCTGCTGATGCTACACCTGAAACACCTGCTCCTGAAACACCTGAAACACCTGAAACCTGCTGAGCTGCACCGACACTTCCTCTGATCAGGCAGGAGGTCGGAGCGTTAGCAGCATTAGCCAGCGAGCTAACGGAGTGACAAGTCTCGTCTCACTGATTCACCATTAGCACCTGAAAGACCTGCTGAAGGGACACAACGCTCAGGATGCTACACCATTAGCATCTGATGCACCTGAAGCACTTCCTGCTGCACCCGATCTGATCTACTTCCTCTGATCAGGCAGGAGGTCGGCGCGTTAGCATTAGCGTTAGCATTAGCAAGCGAGCTAATGGAGCAACCGTCATGAAGGTTGTTGTGAAATATCTCTTTGAGGTATCTGAGCTGCAGCGTCCATTGCAATGCGATGAAGAAATGTGCTGAGACGAGTCACTGCGGGGTTTAAAATGCAGCAGATGCTAACAGATGCTAACAGATGCTAACAGATGAAACCAGGCTCCACGCAGACAGCTGGTTAACGATGAGCTGCTCTATGCAGAGTTACTCACCAGGTAGAACAACACTTTCCTATCAGTATCCTGTCTTCTGATGAGTGACAGATTAAGGTGAAGTTTATCTAAAAAACACCTCTGTTTAAAAGTGTACAGGTGTCTCTTTAACTCAGTCACACTCCATGTTGAATCCTAACAAAGGAGAATAATGGAAAATATAATTTAAAAGTCACGATGTATTTGATTTCTTGACATTGGAATCTATTGAGTAATCCCAAAACAGCAACACATGTTTGAAAAAGAACCGTGTATTTCTACCTGGTGTGCGACTCTGAAGGAGCGGCAGACTGAAGTGTGCAGATGTGTGTGTGTGTGTGTGTGTGTGTGTTTGTGTGTGTGTGTGTGTGTGTGAATGACACACTGCAGTGTTTATAGGAGACTGAACGAAGGAGTCAAAACTACTGAAGCTGATTCAGTGTTAAACCACTGTAACCCCCCCCCCCCCCCCCCCCCAGCCCCACACACACTCGCACTCACACACACACACAGTTTCAAATCCATAGACTTTTCAGCGGAGATGAAGTGAAACAGGAAGTAAAAAAAGTCCTCAAGGGACAGGACGCTGTTTTTGCACGTTTTACACTAAAAATAAAAATAATCTGCAACTATTTTGAAATGTTTTCCACCAGAAACGGTTAAATAATCCAATATTTCTCAATGGAAGTTTCTAGAAGTGTGTGTGTGTGTGTGTGTGTGTGTGTGTGTGTGTGTGTGTGTGTGTGTGTGTGTGTGTGTGTGTGTGTGTGTGTGTGTGTGTGTGTGTGTGTGTGTGTGTGTGTGTGTGTGTGTGTGTGTGTGTGTGTGTGTGTGTGTGTGTGTGTGTGTGTGTGTGTGTGTGTGTGTGTGTGTGTGTGTGTGTGTGTGTGTGTGTGTGTGTGTGTGTGTGTGTGTGTGTGTGTGTGTGTGTGTGTGTGTGTGTGTGTGTGTGTGTGTGTGTGTGTGTGTGTGTGTGTGTGTGTGACTGAGGGATTATTCATTTAACCACAGCACGTAACTGAGATGGATTTAAAGCAGGAGCTCGGCGGAGAACATTTCCATACTGTAGGGAAATATCTGCACACGCACTGCTATTTGAATACAAACAATGCAGCGTGTGTGTGTAGGCAAATGATCTGCACTCATGTAAAATTCGGTTTCGAGCATTTCTTTTCACGCTCCAGAAAGCTTTATCTCCGTCGACCTCACAGCGATGTTAACGCTTATATTTGTATTTAAAATAATAACACAGAGGTTTGAAGTTCAGATAAACCAGAAGCAGGTTTCTCATTAATCAGATACTCATATTTCCACTCGGTAAAACGTGCAAAAAGCAGAAGAAATGTCTTTTTTTTATGTAGAAAGTCCTGAGAGGCCGCGGAGGGTCTTTTGTGTTCTGAGTCTGATCCAAAGTGTTTTCTGTGTTTATCATTTATTCAGAAAAGGCGGGGGAAGCTGGGGGATGAAGTTTAGGAGATTCCTCATCGGGGTCATGTGTGTTTATCGTGTTTGTAGTTGTGGTTAAATTAAAACTACAAATACAGACATGACGAATGATCCTGACAGAGAAACATGTGTGTGTGTGTCAGAAACACACACACACACACACACACACACACACACAGTCAAAAACACACACACAGCCAGAAAAACACACACACAAAAAACACGCACACAGAAAAAAAAATGCACACAGCCAGAAAAACACACAGACAAATTCTGCAGAACTTTTTTAAATCTTATTTTGAAGGATTTATAACATTTAAGAATTACTCTTGACACTAAACATTGTATTGAAAAACTGCAAAAATACAGAAAATCCCAGTTTTTAGGTCATGAACCCAGAAGACAAGTTACATCCGACTCAGATCAACCTCAACAAGCATCCTTTCTTCTCGTTCTCTCGTTAAGCAAATAATGTCTGATCTGAGACGCTGATCTGAGACGCTGAGCATCAGACGCATCTTGAAGTTAACTTCCTCTCGTTAAATCTCCACCAACTGAAGTCTCCCTCGCCGCTTAAAGACTGACTTTATAATCCGATGAAGCATTAAAAAAACTCCCAACATTTCAAAGCTCTGACGACACTTTCCGGACTCCACATCCTTCAGGGGAAATCCTCGCAGGCTGGATAAGACGATCAATGATCAGTTCATTGAGTCTTAAAGCGCTGCCTCGGTCTTTTCTTCATTGAGGTTTTGGTTCAGGGCGTGTTTCTGCCTGGGAGTCTGAATCCAGGGAGAAATGTCCCAGACAAACAAACATTGAGTGAATGAATTGATCATTAATGCTCGTTACGGTGAATTATTAATCGTTTGTCATGATGATGGAAAATGAATTCTTGTGATGAAAATGTTCCTTTAGTACGACAGCATATTAAAGCTATTAGAATATATAATTACAGATTGGGAGGATGGGGGAAATCTCCACAAAGATAAATAAATTCAGAGATTAAAGTCTTACATTTATGTTACAAACATATGAGGAAAAAAGTGAACATTTATTTTTTTTAAATCAGCTTTACGCAAAAAAAAAGTGAATATTTTCATAAATCTGCGATAAAAAGATTTGTAAATTCTGAGAATTAAGTCGTAGATTTACCGAAAGAAACGCAGAGAATTAGTACATTTACAATTTGAATCTTGTGTTTTTTCTTTGATATCCCCCCTCCTACGATAGCGCTAACAAGCTGTCGTGCTAGCATCACAAAGGTTTTGAACGTAGCATTTATGTTTCCAAAATTGAAAATATCGTCCTGTTTCCTGAATAATTCACAGACGTTAAAGTGTTAAAACCTGTCGGATCGGACCGCGACGAAGAGTTTAACGTTGAATATGTACGCAGTGTAGAGTTGAGTCCTTACAGTTCTCATTATATACATTTAGTTGGACCTCTGCTCCGTGTTCATCGTACGATTCTTCGTCCGCGGTCCGATCTTTCCCGTCTCCCTGCTGTACTGTTTTCCTTCACAGAAGTTTGTCGTGTATTTTATTTTAACGTTATTATCGATATCTTGGGGCTGGTGTCACGTTTCCGATCTCCTGCCGAACTCTTGTTCTGGGTTGAACTGTGTAAATATAAATATATTTTTTGTATGTAAGCCTTTCCTAATGATCTGGAGAAGATAGATGTTATTTTTATATATTATTGCAGCGGATTTTTTGTAAGTATTTTATACTTTTGATAATATGGTTCTCTGTAAAACAAGAGTATTATGTAAATATAGTTCTTTAGAAACAGCTTCGTGGTCCGTGTGTTTTCTTCTGTGTCATCTTTAATTGTGTGTGTGTGTGTGTGTGTGTGTGTGTGTGTGTGTGTGTGTGTGTGTGTGTGTGTGTGTGTGTGTGTGTGTGTTGTGTGTGTGTGTGTGTGTGTGTGTGTGTGTGTGTGTGTGTGTGTGTGTGTGTGTGTGTGTGTGTGTGTGTGTGTGTGTGTGTGTGTGTGTGTGTGTTCATACATGACAATACTTTCCACTGTTTATTTAAGACGTGTTGGTTGTTTTTAACTCTCAGTTACAGTAGCAATATGTTTTACCGCTTCTTTAAGTGTTTTCAATTTCCCAAATATATATGTCAGATTTTTTAATTAATGGAAATATTTACAAGTTTCCATATTCAAAAAAACTTCAGGAAAAAGGCACCTTTCTTCATTTTAACCCAAATTGGTTAATTAGGGTTATAATCAGGATCAGGATAGTTTTTTTTTTTATTACCCGTGGGGGAAACTTCTGAAGCAATAGGAGTCAGGACTCGGAGAGACACGAGGAGAGCTTACTTAAAGGTGGGGTAGGTAATTTTTGAGAAACCAGCTCAAGTGAGCTAGAATTTGAAAATACACAACCGGAACAAATCTGCCACTTCCTTACAGAGCCCCTCCTCCAACACACACGAACGCGCACATGACCAATGAGGGCACGAGATAAGTCTGTGCACAGATGGAAGGCTGACAGGCAGGTAGGCCATCCAGTTATTTTAGCCGGGCCGGCTCAGATGATTGGTCGTGCTTTTTACAGTACTACGGCTTCCACAGATGACATTTTTTTAATGTATTTATTGTCAAAGCATTTAATGTATTCATTGCTATCGGGATGTTAAGAGCATGGAATATAACAAAAAGTGTTTCTGAAATAAATTACGTACCCCACCTTTAAATATCTGCCACAAGATAAGTAACCGGATCAGAGTAACATTACGTACAGTCCGCGGCACTATGAGTGCAGACGTCGATGTGTCCCATTATCATTCATATCATATCACATCATAATGTATCATATTTCCTGATCTGAGTCAGCTTCTTGAGCCGTATCTGGCCGTGCAACACTCACAGTGTCACATACTGTATGCAGAAGTATCATTTTAAGCAACACATTAAGTTGACGAAACACTCGAGTCAAATGTGATTGTCACATGGCAATGTATTTTAATTATTCAAAATGCCATGGTTTTAAGTGTGTGTGTTTTACTCTGAAATGTGTTTGCCTTTTTAACTGGTTTTAACTTCCCCTGCTGAATGCTTTTATTTTTGAAATGTTTGGATTGGCCTTGCCATGCTGATTAACAATGAGTGACCACACCTGGAGCCAACAGCAGAGGACAGACTGAGACTGGGAGAGACTGAAGGAGACAGCAGAGGACAGACTGAGACTGGGAGAGACTGAAGGAGACAGCAGAGGACAGACTGAGACTGGGAGAGACTGAAGGAGACAGCAGAGGACAGACTGAGACTGGGAGAGACTGAAGGAGACAGCAGAGGACAGACTGAGACTGGGAGAGACTGAAGGAGACAGCAGAGGACAGACTGAGACTAGGAGAGACTGAAGGAGACAGCAGAGGAGAGACTGAAGGAGACAGCAGAGGACAGCAGAGGACAGACTGAGACTGGGAGAGACTGAAGGAGACCGCAGAGGAGAGACTGAGACTGGGAGAGACTGAAGGAGACCGCAGAGGAGAGACTGAGACTGGGAGAGACTGAAGGAGACAGCAGAGGACAGACTGAGACTGGGAGAGACTGAAGGAGACAGCAGAGGAGAGACTGAAGGAGACAGCAGAGGACAGCAGAGGACAGACTGAGACTGGGAGAGACTGAAGGAGACCGCAGAGGAGAGACTGAGACTGGGAGAGACTGAAGGAGACCGCAGAGGAGAGACTGAGACTGGGAGAGACTGAAGGAGACCGCAGAGGACAGACTGAGACTGGGAGAGACTGAAGGAGACAGCAGAGGACAGACTGAGACTGGGAGAGACTGAAGGAGACAGCAGAGGACAGACTGAAGGAGGGAGAACGCAGCAGGAGCACCTTCACAGCCCTGGAAAGACTCTGGTTTTGAGAAAAGACTTTTAACCCTTTTAACATTTGAATTCTTTGTATTGTTTTAACTGCGTTTAATTGTATTTTAAAAGAGTTTAGACTATCTTTTTACTGAGATTATATTTTAGACAGCTCTGATTTTAGTTTTCTTAGTAAAGTTGTTATGTTCTCCTGAATAAATGATTGTGTTAAAATCTTAAACGTAGTAGTTGGCTCCTTGATTACCCAGTTTTGCTCTCTACCTGATTTAAAAGAACCCTTTCCCTCTCCATACATGGTTACCCCTCCCCCCTCATTTACAGAATTAAAGTCAGATCGTGTTTTAGACGGGCAGTGATATCATAAACCTGTTATTGGACACATTCAAACACTTTTTCTTTTACCAGCTGTGTTCACCTTGTGGCTTTGATCCTGGATAAAGTGTTTAAGTCATGGATGTTTAAAGTTTAACTTCTTCATATGTCTAATATTATAGTTTACTTTTCATTCAGGAAGTATGACGCAGCGCTGTCAGTGCGCTTCTCCATGTTTGTGATTGGTCAAATGTTGCTAGCCCCGCCCCTTTGATGTGAACGTGCACTCAGCTGGACAGAGAAACCCTGGCTTGAGTTACTGAGTTGATAACCAGCGTCTCAGGACCGTTAGCGAGAGCGCGTTTGTTTTGGATTAGGTAAGCCAGCTAACTCAAACATATCCAGGTTAGGTTAGCTTCGTAGTACAGGCCTCAAGTGTCCCTCAACAATAACTATCTCTGACCGAGAGCTGCCCGGTCATAAACTGGCAACAACAAGTTGCTAGAGCAGCCCCTCCTTAAGGGGGATAGCGGCTGGTCAGCTGAACAAAACAAAATAGATAGGAATGTTATAAAAGCTATTTGATAAACTATCTTAAGACTATAATAACAATAATATTGACATCTGAAAAATACTATAAAGTGTATTTAAAGTGAGATGTTGTGCTTTCAAAGCTTCTTTATTATAATCTTCTTTATAATGCAGATTTCTCCTGAACTCACCGAAAGTCAACATAAAGCTTCTCACATTCTGAACACAAATACCTGTACTTTCTACTTCTTACACTTTGAACACAAATACCTGTACTTTCTACTTCTTACATTTAGAACACAAATACCTGTACTTTCTACTTCTTACATTTAGAACACAAATACCTGTACTTTCTACTTCTTACACTTTGAACACAAATACCTGTACTTTCTACTTCTTACATTTTGAACACAAATACCTGTACTTTCTACTTCTTACATGTTGAACACAAATACCTGTACTTTCTACTTCTTACATGTTGAACACAAATACCTGTACTTTCTACTTCTTACATTTTGAACACAAATACCTGTACTTTCTACTTCTTACACTTTGAACACAAATACCTGTACTTTCTACTTCTTACACTTTGAACACAAATACCTGTACTTTCTACTTCTTACATGTTGAACACAAATACCTGTACTTTCTACTTCTTACATGTTGAACACAAATACCTGTACTTTCTACTTCTTACATGTTGAACACAAATACCTGTACTTTCTACTTCTTACATTTTGAACACAAATACCTGTACTTTCTACTTCTTACATTTTGAACACAAATACCTGTACTTTCTACTTCTTACATTTTCCAAACAGGCTGGTTCCTTTACTTTGAATGTGTGTTTGGTGGCGTGATCATTATTATTTAGAGTCATTGCGTGCCTATTGATTTGAACACGATCCGTGTATCCATCATTTCCTGGTCTTCTCTAAAGAAGAGGGACCAATGAAAACGTTGTCATGTTGCCGTTGTTCAGCATGGAAACATTCATTAGCTAACAATGACATTATTGTTCTATTAATATAAAGGGAGGTCAGGTACTCTTTAAAACAGCTGCTAGTTATGGGTACTTTTTACTGAAGTACATTTCAAAGCCCTCTTTACTTTTACTTGAGTAAAGAAGTTGAGTCAGTACTTCTACTTTCACCAGAGTATTTTTAAACACGAGTATCTGTACTTCTACTTGAGTAAAGGATGTGTGTACTTCTACTTGAGTAAAGGATGTGTGTACTTCTACTTGAGTAAAGGATGTGTGTACTTCTACTTGAGTACAGGATGTGTGTACTTCTACCCTCTCTGACTGAATTGTGTTAAAGTCAGTAAAGCACTGGGGAAGTGCTGCAGGTGTTTATGAGTTAAAGTGTGTCTACCTGTGCTGAAGCCCCGCCCCTACAGGTGTGTCTCTCTCCCTCTCTCTCTTCCTGTCTCTCTCTTCAGTCTCACCTGTGCTGAAGCCCCGCCCCCTGCAGGTGTGTCTCTCTCTCTCTTCCTCTCTCTTCACTCCTCTCTCTCGCTCTTCAGAGATGTTGGAGGACTCGGTCGGCCTCGCCGCCGTCACCGTGCTCGGCGTCCTGGAGCAAGGTAAGAACAGAAGGCATGCTGGGTAATGTGAGAGCAGACCGACGGTTCGTTCTGTCTGAACACACCTGAGGTACCTTTAGTTCGTCTAATACTTGATATTTATCATTATTATCATTTACTATTATTATTTTGCAATTTGTATTTAATGATTACATTATTATCTGTATGATTTTTATTTGGTTTATTTGTATGCTAAATAGAAACATGATATATGATACGCACATTGTTTAAATTCTTCTTCTCCTTTTTTACACAAGTTATTAGTTCCTATATTTGATTAATTAAATTAATGATTTAACATAATTTAAAAACATATAAGAAAATAAATCAGAGAAGAACAAATGTTCATGGATTGTTAAATTATTATTCTAATAATTATTAATAAATATAATAATTATCCGTCTGTCATCACATTGCTGTGTGTGTTTTTCTGTATGTGTGTGTGTGTTTTTCTGTATGTGTGTGTGTGTTTGACTGTGTGTGCGTGTTTGTGTGTGTGTGTTTCTGACTGTGTGTGTGCGTGTTTGTTTCTGTGTGTGTGTGTTTCTGACTGTGTGTGTGCGTGTTTGTTTCTGTGTGTGTGTGTTTCTGACTGTGTGTGTGTGCATGTGTGTGTGCATGTCCGTGTGTGTTTTCTGTGTGTTTGTGTTTGTCTGAATTTGTGTATGTGTGCGTGCGTTTGTCTGACTGTGTGTGTGTGTGTGTCTGTGTGTGTGTGTGTGTGTGTGTGCAGCGTATTTCTGTCTGCAGGTGATCTATGCCAGGAGGAAGTTCAAAGTCTCCCCCCCCCTCCACTGCCGGCCCGCCCCAGTTTGAGCGGATCTTCAGAGCTCAGTGAGACTCCGATTATTGTTTATATTGATGATTATTATTGTTATTATTTATATAGTTATTTCTGTAAACCTGCGTCAGAGTGTCCGAGTGTCCGAGCGAGTGTCAGAGTGTCCGAGTGTCCGAGAGTAAGAGTGTCAGAGTGTTAGAGTGTCAGAGAGTCAGAGAGTCAGAGTGTCAGAGTGTCAGAGAGTCAGAGAGTCAGAGAGTCAGTGAGTCAGTGAGTCAGAGTGTCAGAGAGTCAGTGAGTCAGAGAGTCAGAGAGTCAGAGAGTCAGAGTGTCAGAGAGTCAGAGAGTCAGTGTCAGAGAGTCAGAGAGTCAGAGAGTCAGAGTGTCAGTGAGTCAGTGAGTCAGAGAGTCAGAGAGTCAGTGAGTCAGTGAGTCAGAGAGTCAGAGAGTCAGAGTGTCAGAGAGTCAGAGAGTCAGAGTGTCAGTGAGTCAGTGAGTCAGAGAGTCAGAGAGTCAGTGAGTCAGAGAGTCAGAGAGTCAGTGAGTCAGAGAGTCAGAGAGTCAGAGAGTCAGAGAGTCAGTGAGTCAGAGTGTCAGAGAGTCAGAGAGTCAGTGAGTCAGAGTGTCAGTGAGTCAGTGAGTCAGAGAGTCAGAGAGTCAGAGAATCAGAGAGTCAGTGTCAGAGAGTCAGAGTGTCAGAGAGTCAGTGAGTCAGAGTGTCAGAGAGTCAGAGAGTCAGTGAGTCAGAGAGTCAGAGAGTCAGTGAGTCAGAGAGTCAGAGAGTCAGAGAGTCAGTGAGTCAGAGAGTCAGAGAGTCAGTGAGTCAATGAGTCAGAGAGTCAGAGAGTCAGAGAGTCAGAGTGTCAGAGAGTCAGAGAGTCAGAGTGTCAGAGAGTCAGAGAGTCAGTGAGTCAGAGAGTCAGTGAGTCAGAGAGTCAGAGTGTCAGAGAGTCAGAGAGTCAGAGTGTCAGAGAGTCAGAGAGTCAGAGAGTCAGTGTCAGAGAGTCAGAGAGTCAGAGTGTCAGAGAGTCAGTGAGTCAGAGAGTCAGTGAGTCAGAGAGTCAGTGAGTCAGAGAGTCAGTGAGTCAGTGAGTCAGAGTGTCAGAGAGTCAGTGAGTCAGAGAGTCAGAGAGTCAGTGAGTCAGTGAGTCAGTGAGTCAGAGAGTCAGAGAGTCAGAGAGTCAGTGAGTCAGAGTGTCAGTAAAGCAGCTCTTATCACTCTGTGGTCATAACACTCAGATGCTTTTATTCAGAACATCCCAGAGTCTTTTTACATTTAAAGTAAGAAAATCAGCAGATCTTCATATCAAGAAACTGTTATTTAAAACATTCAATGGTTTCAAACTCATGATATCGACAAAGAAACTAAATGTATCTGACAAACAGTTCAAACAAACTTTTGGAAATCAGTTAAATTAACTTCAAAAATCTGAAATGCAAACTTTCAATTTAAAGAATGTGGAATCTTTTTGATAAATCAATTCTTAAAAACATTTTGAATCAGAAAATGCAAATTCCCTTTGCGTTTAAAATCTAAAGAAATCGATTAAAAAAACTCAAATAATTAATTTAAAATACCCTTTAAGGGTAGAACAATCTGCAGCAGAACATCAAAACCTTTAAGGGTAGAACAATCTCCAGCAGAACATCATGTATTAAAATACATTTAAAAAGATGCAGAAATGTTTGTATGTGTCTGTTGATGGTGTTTTCAGAGCGAACTGCTCCGAGTACTTCCCGATCTTCATCATCGTCCTGTGGATCTCCGGAGTCTTCTTCAGTGAAGGTGATCACACACACATGCACACACACACACTCACACACACACACACACACACACACGCACACACACACACACACGCATGCACACACTCACACACACACACGCACACACACACACACACGACATCACAACACACACACACACACACACACACACACACACACACCACACACACACACACACACACACACACGTGCACACACACACACACACACACATGCACACACACACACCACACACACACACACACACACACACACACACACACACACACACACAGAGAAAAATATGACACACTCTGTTACAGCTCTTAAATATAGACCTAAGTATTAATATATAAGTGTTGATGTTTGTGTTGCAGCGCTGTCCTGCCTCTGTGGGCTTCTGTATATTTACGCACGTCTCCGGTACTTCCAAGGATACTCAGAGTCTGCTGAGGGACGGTACGACACACACACCATGTTTATTTAACAGGCCCTGGTGTTCCCTCTCCTGTAGTGTTCAGTTTGAGTGCATGTAAAGGGTCTGCAGAGGCTAAAATAGGATGCTAACATGAACCTGGAGGAGAGCGCAATATGTCCTCAGATAACAAACAGGTTGAAAGGGAATGTAAGCATATAGAAACAATTTGGTGAATTTGAGAAAGATTCAATGAAAGGTAACTACAGTATAAAGTAAGAATGTTAACTGAGTTGAATTATTTCATAACAAAATAAATGCAAATATAATTCTAATAATTACCAAAAAAGATATATAATTATTTAAAATATAATTGCTTTAATAATAATAATAACTTTAATTTATATAGCGCCTTTCATCAACCCAAGGTCGCTTAACAAGAAACATAGAACAAGACATAGAACAGGGGGCAGAAATGGAGGGGGGGGGAGTTAATGTTGAACAGATGAGTTTTCAGGGTTGATCTGAAGATGTTCAGAGAAGCGTTACGGCAGCAGGGAGGGAGTTCCAGAGGGGGGGGAGGGGGACACTGAAGGCACGGCCCCCGAAGGTGCGGAGGCGTGAAGGTGGAAGGGACAGCAGGCCGGAGACTGAGGATCGAAGGGTGCGGGACGGGACGGTACGGGACGGGGGGTGGAGGAGATCTGTGAGGTACTGAGGGGAGAGGGCACAGAGGGACTTGTAGGTGAGGAGGGACTTGTAGGTGACGAGGAGGAGGAGTTTGTAGGAGGAGGGACTTGTAGGTGAGGAGGGACTTGTTCGGGAGCCAGTGGAGGTTGGAGAGAGTGGAGGTTGATGTTCTGATGAAGAACAATTAAAAAAAACAAGCAAAGTCATGAAGTACAAAATAATCAGGTGATTCTCACATTCGATTAAACAGTTTATAAAATCAGAATATTTTTGTGAATTTCTCTATTTCCTTTTCTTTTAATTTTGTATTATTATTATTTTTTTATTATCATTATTATGTGTTTGTTTGTTTGTGTATTTATTGTGCAGGCTGGACCCCCTGTACTCCAGCGCGCGGGTTCTCTGGCTGCTGATCTGGTTCTGCGGGCTCGGGGTTCTGTTGTCGTTCTGCAGGATCTACCTGAAGCTGGACCTGATCAAAGGGCTCTACGCTGCCCTGGGCCTCGTCTGAAGGAGACAGCAGGAGAAAGGCAAAGGGCAAACAAACGGGCCGGTTCATGTGACAAAAAATAAAAATAAACATCAGAGGAAATGTGCTTGTGTCTTGTCTTTAGTAAAGTATAGAGTATTTATAGTTTTATATATTATTCTGATATAGTTTTGTGTGCATGTAAATGGTCTGCAGAGGCTAAAATCCCTGTGTTCCTTCCAGAGGAGTTTCTCTCCCACAAACTAGAATTCTGACTTTTCTCAAGTTTCTGACTTTTTCACTAAAAGAAACTGACTTTTTCCTCAGAATGATCTTTCTCTATGTGATGAATTTTCTTCCTAAAATAGATTTTCTTCAAATTATAACTTTTTTCTTAAAATTCCGACTTTCTCTAAATCCTGTCTTTTCTCCAAATTTTTTTAAAGGGGACCTATCATTCAAAATGCACTTTTGTACGTCTTACATGAATATGTGTCCCCGGTGTTCCAGGGAACTCACCAAGTGTCAGAAAACACAACCCTCTCTATTTTCCTCCATACCCAAATCTCTAAAAAAGGGGCTGCAACGGATCTGATAAAAACTGATCCAGATTTGAAATTGTTCTAACGTCAGAAACAGGGTGCTCCGCCTATATGGGCAACTCTCCACCTATCAGGGGAATGGGGGGTTGGGCCACAGCCACGGCCATTGCCGCTCGAAAGCGCTGGAGACGCTGTAGTACATATGCCAGGCCTGTAAGTGGCGCTGTAGTCTGCCACAAAAGCAGCGAAGAAGACTTCTCACAGAATCAGCCCTTGCAAAAACAGGGCTGGAAAAGAGCAAATAGAGCGAAATGAGGCATGGCTAAAATGCATGATCTGTTTGGTATTTTGAAAAAAAAAGTTTAATATAGGTATGGCCCTACAATATATTATTCAAATATAGCATGATAGGTCCACTTTAAGTTTTAAATTCAAACTTATTTTTCTAAATTATGACTTTTTTCCGAGATATTTTTAAATTATAATTAATTTTCTTACAATTATTAATTTTCTTAGAATCTTATCTATTCTCAAAATTCTGAATATTCTTTCAAAATTCAATCTTTTTCTCACTTTTCTGCATTCTTACTTAGCCATAAACCATTTAGAGGAATCGACGAATCAGATGAGGCCTTTATCCGGGACCTGCCCCCCTGGGATAGGTCAGGGTCATGTCACGGGAAGCTTCTGACCAATCAAATCACACCATATGACATCATCAACGCTAGCGACTTGTAGTCATGGAGATTTAGAGTTTGAGGATCACTAAATTACCGCAGAAACAGCGACTCTGAATTAAAAGATGGGACAAAGCAGCTCAAAGACTTCAGAGAGGAGAGAGGGCGAGGATGAATGCAGCGCGTGCAGAGATCTACTGTAAGGTCGCGAGGAGCTGAAGGCTGAGATGCTCCGACATTACAGTTTTTCTCGATTGCTAACACACTAAAATTATACATGAAGCACAATTATTTTAACTGACACTCAAAGAGCAAAACATCGGCTCAAATCTCCAAAACTCAGCTTTTCACACAATTTGCAAATCAACATGGCACTTTTTGCAAACCACTGCTGACGTTTCTCCACGTGAGACACAGGAATCTGACATGAAGTCACGTGTTAGCAGGTTTAAAACACTGATATTCAAAATGCCTCTCACATGGACCAATGATCAAGAAACATGTTCCACCTGACCAAACACCTGAGAGCATCATTGTTGGCTCATCAATCAGGATGCTAGCACTATAAAAAGACCACAGGTGAGAACTTTTTTACAGCAACAATGGAAGCTAACATGGAAGCATGAGGAAGAGGAAGAGGAAGAGGAAGAGCTGGGCTGAGAGTGAGAGGAAGAGGAAGAGCTGGGCTGAGAGTGAGAGGAGGATGAAGAGCTGGAGGGAGGGTCCTAATGTGCACAATGTAGTGACTGCTTTTTCGTCTTTTGTTTTCTTAGTTATGTTCTCTGTGTTTTATATGTTTGTGTTATGTGTAACGTTGCTGCCTTCTTGGCCAGGTCAGCATTGAAAATGAGATTTTATCTCAATGCTTTTAAAGGTTAAATAAAGGTTAAATAAAATAGAATAAAAGGGAGAGGACGTGGACAAAGAAGAATACTCTCTAATGAAATCCGGGCCACTTTGATTGACCATGTAATCAACCACGATGTGATAACAATAACTTGTATATAGACTCGTACTGCACTATTCCACTTTTTTTCGCTCTCTCACTTTATTTTAGAACTTTTTCTTTTTGTATTACTTTTAAAGGTGGGGTAGGTAAGTTTGAGAAACCGGCTCGAGATACACTTTTTATTATATTCCATGGAATGCTCTTAGCAGTAATACTGTAAAAAGCACGACCAATCATTTTAGCCGGCCCGGCTAAAATAACTGGATGGCCTACCTGCCTGTCAGCCTTCCATCTGTGCACAAACTTATCTCGTGCCCTCATTGGTCATGTGCGCGTTCGTGTGTGTTAGAGGAGGGGCTCTGTAAGGAAGTGGCAGATTTTCTCCGGTTGTGTATTTTCAAATTCTAGCGATCTCGAGCCGGTTTCTCAAACTTACCTACCCCACCTTTAACTGCAACTCACCACTCTGTCGCATCTCAACTGGGTGCCGGCCTTTTGGTTTTTCCATAGACCGCTTGGAAGCTGCCACCTGCTTCTTCCGAGCTACACACTCTGCCACTACAAGACCAGGGTCAAGACAAAAGAAACACAATCTCTTTTTCTTGGGTCCTGGAAGAGAAGCAGAATGAGAATGTGTGGCACGCCTGTTATGAGCTGCTATTACTGATCAACATTACAGTAATGCATCTCGAGGATATATAAGTACTGCTAGTGGGCACAGCCTGCCACCGGCTGGTCAGACTGTGGAACTGCACGGTCTGTTTCTTGTGATACTTTATTCATCCCAAAATTAGGAAATGATTTAGTTGCAGCAGCAGCAGCAGCAGCAAGCCTTACACGAGGTAAACATGTTTTAAAGATACAAAACAACATGAACATTAGCAGCAAGTATTTACAAATTCACAATAGAAAGTACATATAACCCTAGAGCATCTAAATAATACACAATATAACGAGTACTCATCACTGTCTCACTGGGCTACAGGAATATAGAAATACATATGAATGTGTTGCTTCAGAACAGATCAGATACATGTTGCTCTCACAAACACTGAGGGTCCGCTCCAGCTCCACGAGCCCAGGGTGATTCAGAACAACTGGACTCTGAAATGTTCCGGGTGTTTCTGCTGATAGTTTGACTGGAAAGGAGTTTGTTGGAGAGCTCTCCCTTTGGTGTCTCCTTGCTCCTTCATCACAGCTTCTATGGTGTGTTTATATGATGTGGATATGATGTGTTTTAGTGAACCCTTTCACAGCACATTGTTCAAGGTTCAAGGTTCTTTATTGTCAAACTAACATAGCCACAGAGTAATTATGTTGTTGAAAATCTTAGGTCACAGGCTTCTCCAACAATGCAACACAATAATACAGATAAGCAGACAATATTAAAACAATAATAAAGTATATTATATTAAAAATAATACAAAAAAGAAAAATAGTTTAAAAAAAAGTGAAATAGTGCAGTACGAGTCTATATACAAGTTATTGGAATGATATAGATAATAGATAGATATTACTAAGTAGCAGATGAATGTTGTTTAACAGTCTCACTGCCTGTGGTATGAAACTGTCTCTGAATCTTTTTGTTCTTGTCCGGATGCTGCGGTACAGCCTGCCAGACGGCAGCAGGCTGAACAGTTTGTGGCTGGGGTGATGGGGGTCTTTGATCATCCTGAGGGATTTCTTCCTGAGCCGCTGAGAGTAAAGGATGCAGACCACTACTCCCTTTGCACGTGGAGAGTAAACAGTGAGGTATTCCTTTCTCCTGTGAAGCCTGTCCTGCAGCACGTGGTGTCTCCTTTCTGTCTGCAGACTCCTTCACACAGATGTATTTATTTGATTTTTTAAATGTTTTAGAGTTGTACCCCCTAGATCAGGTCTCTAGTAATTGTGTGCTCAAAGTGCACCAGATTGAAGCATTTTACTTTAAAATGTTCAGAAAAATCTTCCCGGGGGGGGCATACCCCCGGACCCCCCTAGAGGATGTGACGTCCACCCCCCAATTCAAACATGTTCATACAATACTGAATACATTTTAAGCCATTTTGACGTATATTACCTATGTCAATAAGTTTCTGTTTTTGTAGTGTATTTGTCTTTTGTAGAGATTTTTCATTTCTTCTTTATATATGAAATCTCGCCTAGGGCAGCAAATAGTCTAGAACCGGCCCTGGTGCTAGGCCTCAAGAGCCTTTCCTGTGCTGGCAGACACATAGAAACAAATTGGCGGGGCGCACTTCGCACGTGCACACACTAAAAGATTCCACGCGCTCCGCGCTCACATTATGCTGGGCCCACGTTCCTTAGCACCGCTGCTATGACTCCATTCTGGGGGAAACACTGGGCTCTTCAAAACTATTCGGCTCTATGATAGCCTACATAGCTGAACTTAAGACACTAAATTAAGAAGAAAGGGGGGAACTACGAATGTATGTGCTTTTTGTTTGTTTGTTTTGTTTTTGTTTCTGTCTTTATATACATGTACGTGTATGTGTATGTGTATATGTGTGTAGGTATGTACATATATATGTGTATGTGTATATGTATATTATTGTTATTATTCTTTATTTCCTTATCTATTAATTTAAATTTTCTTTTAATATTATCTTTTACATTACTTTATTTTTACCTATATATGTATCTATTTATTTATTTACTTTACTAGCTAGGACCGGGAGGGGAGGGGGGGAAAGGGACGAATATTGACTGTATAAATGTAAACTCATTGTGCCTGACTCAATAAAAAAATATATATTGTAAGAGTCGGGAGTCATCCGATAATTTATTCCGAACTTAAATTATTCAGACCTCCTAATTGACCTAACCGAAGTTATTGAGTCTATGTAAGTTTACTGCTTGGCTCAGATCCACCAACGTCAGCAAGATCTCACCTCTATTAACTCCCCGAAGAACCAGGTTCAATTAACTGCTGTTTCAATTCAGACGACCCCCTAAATCT